GGCAAGAGCTTCGTCGCTAATTCTTTCATTGCCGGATCAGGACTATATCATCAGAAAATCAAATATACATGTTACCAATTGGAGTTAGCAACATGAGGAACGTCTTGTACGCACAGGATCTTGGCCAACGGCTTGGCACCGAGGTTCACATTGCACGTTGGACAGGACGATGACTTGGGGTGGTACAGGTAGTATCCTCGGATGCAGCCGTAGCAGACTGTATCAACACCAACAATGCTCCAATTTAACACCCATAATATACTTTCACATACTTCTGAACGTACAGGTGTGAAGACATTCTTTGGACGTGTAGGGGTCTCGGAAGTAGCCCTTACATAGCTTGCAGATGAAAAACTCGTTGATATTTGCCATGCGCAGCGTTTCCTGCAATATTCAATGGCTTCAATTAAAAAATTGCCGCCAAAATGTTGCTAATACATGTAGTGATGCCAAGCTAGAATTGGAGCACATCACACTGTGGAAAGAATTAGTAGGACGCACCGTGCGCGCTTCGACGAACAAGCAGGCCGCGTCATCAAGCGACGAAGCGAGCACCTCTCTCGGCGCCGATGAGCCCTTGTCCATGGCGAGAGATAAATAAGACCGGCAAAAATGGTATATATTGCAAACCTAACATTTCACATTACTAAACTACTGAACAGCATAATACAAACATCAAGTACTCACAAACTTTGCGCACGCATAAATTACGCGTGGGTATGTTGCTGTCGTCGTCTTCGCTTGCAGAAGAGCACAAAACCGATAAGACAGGCCGCTGGGATCACCACGAAGAAAACAGCGAGCACAAACATGGCGCTGGTGAAGAATGACCCGGTGTGACGATGACTCAATGTTGCATCGTTTCCAGTCGACCCGCTGCTCTCTTCGGTCGATTCCAGTCTCCATGACTTGTTCGCGAGCGTATTTCCTGATTCTGGGAGCTGAGTTGGCTGTGCTGGTGCTGGTGTTGGAGCGGTGAGTGTATTTGAGCTCTCACATTCGCATTTGCGTTTATACCAGGGTACTTGAAGCTTTTCCAGGGCGTGGTGTTGTAACTCTTGCACCTCGAGACGCAACCGGGCAGTGAGAGCTTCAAGATGCTGACGAGCCATCGTCAGGTGCTGGATACGGCAGTGGTGAGCTGTACTCGGGGTAAAAAACATGGCGGAACTGTGGCCATGTTGCAGCAAACACGGAGACTGGTATCTACGAAATGTCGTAAGATGTCCTTGAGCACCGACCAGACTGAAGGCCAGAGCGAGCCAAAGGAAGAGGATCCAGCGCATTGATACGCAACTGACTGCTGCTTTCGTGACGCAATGGCGAATGGAAGACTTTTACGTTGGAAAAAAGCCTCTCCATCAACTGCCATGCTCTTTGACTTGAGCTCCTTCCGTCCATCAGATATCATGACCCCTTGTGCAAGGGTGCAATTCTTTTTCTTCTTCTGACTTAGTGATGTTTAAGGTGCAGCATTTATTTGATCCATTCACGACAAGACCATCGACGTACATACTTCCTGCACAAATAACAAGTTATTAAAGTAGTACAGAAACAAAGTCGTGTGTTGCAAGAAAGATCGCAAAAACTTTAAAAAATAAATCATCTGTTGCGTCTGCTTCGCAGCGCACGGTGATTTCCAAGCCTTCGAAACGAAGGTGTAGATTTGTTAAGTTTTGAGATTTTTTCATGCAAACACACGACTTTGTTTGTTTCTGTATTACTACAACTAGTACTTATATAGCGTGCTA